AAATGCATGCTTTTGTATCTACACAAATGAGTTCTCATTTCAATCATCACTTATCTCATCTTTCTCATGATACCATGAAAAGTGATATATTTTTGAAACTTCCTTTTGACTTTCATGATGATAATAAAAATAATCATTTAAAAGTCCCTTTTTTAGATTAAACTTGAACTTTTGTTGCTCAATGAAAGTTATGATTAAAGGAAAGATGAGAAAAGATTAATTTGTTTAAATTACTATTTTTGGCCTTTCCGAGTTTTCCTTTCCATTCATAATTAAGTTCAATGGGATTCATGAGCAACTGAAAGGGATAATGAAATTAACATATTTAAAACAAGTTGGAAACATTGAGATAAATTTTCAGCAAATTTTTCCCATTTTTCAATTGCAACTTTTATTCGAGGTGAAAAGGTCTCTTTCAGATGTTGTTCAGGTTCAATGAAAAGTGTCCAATTTTTCCGTTTTCATCAATATTTTCATGATAATTTTACCAATTAAACAGAAAGAAATTGTATACAAAATTCAAGAGCAAAGTTTTGAACTTTAGCTTATTTGCATATAAGTATCAAGTTTATGACCATGTGTGACTCTAAGCTAGAAAGCCGAGCTGTTTTAAAGTTCGAGTTCCGCTGCGGCATACATTGAACATAAAAATGGGTTCAGTGTTTGGCCCTGATACGATTTCTGTTTCCATCGCTAAAGTTAATTCAAATTTTTCAGAGATGGAAATTTCAGGACTGAATATGAGCCGATCGATTGAAGGAACGATCATGGAAGCAGATTTTTTCATGAAACTCATTTTTCTGATGTAACTTTTGATGGTCAATCAGAAATTCACTTATTTTGAGAAATAAAATTTTTTGTTTCTGTAAAATAAATAAGTTCAATTTTCAGTTAAACCTGCCGCTTCAAGTGACCATAGAGTCTGAGAGCTTAAACTTATTATCCGTCGATAAAAAGTATTGGTACACATTAATGACTGAATTCAATTCATCCATAGTTCTGTTGACTTTACTTACTGGCCTTAAAACTTTGAGTATCAATATTTCGAGAATATTAGGTGAATCAGTAAAAAAGAATGTCGTCCAGATTGTTCAGACGATTTCCAATTCGATATTATGTGTGTTATCGATATATTTAAATAAATCGAAATCGAAATCACTTCAATAAAACTCTTTTATTACGTTATAAAGTTCATCAAGTTTCATTTCAACGAGCAAAACAAAGATGGAAACTTATATAAACTTTCTAATTGCGAAAAAGACTCAGCATTTTCCAACGAGTTATCATTAGCTTATATTAAATATTATGTCAACTTTGATGGCGATCAAGAGCATTCTAAATGTGACAGAAAAAGTGAATAATTTTGGTTAATCGCAAAGCTGGTTGACTCTTGAAGAGACAATTTTCATGTAAATTGTGTGAAATGCTTTTAGGTGGTTTCAAAATGTTGTTACCTCGGCAAAAATGTTTCAAAATGTTGAAGAGCAAAAAAAAAGTTTCAAACAATTCTATTCACATGGTTGAACAATGTTGTTAAACAGAGGCACAATTTTCATTCTTGTTTCACTTTTTTCCTCATTCCCTTGATATACAAATACAACGGAATCACTTACTCAGCCTTTTGGATGTAAGAGTAAAGAAGAGAAGCTTTTCTTTCGCCAACCTTTATTTGTTGATGATCGTTTTCCCCTGTAAATCACTGTTTACATTGAAAAGGAAGAAGAAAGTAGAGCGAAAAAAGTTTAAAATTTGAAGTTCGAAGAAAAAATACTTAAGTGTCCATATTGAGATATTCATTGTCCAAGATGAATGTTATTGTATTGCAAGTCTATCAAAATGATAACCTTTTCAGTATTCATTGTATTAACTTAAGATTTTCAGAAAGTTGATCATTGAATAATTTGACCAAAACTTTGAATAACAATCTATACAATATATAAAGTCAAAGTATCAAATTTTTGCGTCAAGATTGTGGTCAAACTGAGCGGGTTTCAAGAAAAAAAATTACACAGTCTGAAAGCCCTGATTCAACTACAACGACGAAAAATAGGAAACCTGTCCTCAGAATCTCATGACCTCTGAGAAATTCATGAAAATAGAGGATGGGGGAAAAACTGTAGAATCCTTATCCAATAACATTGAGAGAGGGGGAAAAACTTTTTTGTTATTCAGGTTGATGGTTGATTGTTGGACCAGGATTTTATGTAAAACTTTGTCATTTGAGTAAAGAGTAAAGAGTTTTTCACCAGTTTTTTTACCGATTTTTCACCGTATTGTCCACCATATTGTCCACCGCCCAATCCAACACATCTACCAAATCAACAAAATCAACAAAATCAAACAACATCACTTTTTAAAGAAACTTTTCTCAACAAAATTGTCCATCACTTTAAAGTGGCTTTTTCCACCACTTTTTCAAACAAATTTTTATAAGATTATCTACCACCCAGAACTCAGATTCTTGAGAAAATTATTTTCATTTTTATTTTTTTTAATTAACAATGTTGACCACTTTTACACCATCTAGCACATCCACTATTAATCACCAAAGTGGTCAAAATTTGGGTGGATTTGGGTGGTAGATGATCTTATATAAAATTTGTTTGGAAAATGCGTGTGAAAAAAGCCA